CAGTTACTATTTATGGAGCACCTACTCTATCCAAGCATTTGTTGGCTCCTTCATTTGTAATATTTACCATGGCTGAAGAGTCTTGGTCTTTTAAGTAGTCAAGACTAAATATACACCAGAAGTTCAAGTAGAACCTTCTCAGCTTGATGCCAAGCAGGGCTATTTTATTATTTTAATAATTCTTTATTGCTAAAGGTATTACATATGTTCCCCTTTCTCCCCATTTACCTCTCCGAGCCCCCCACCCCCACCCCACCCCCCGCCTTCAGCACCCTATCAGTTATTTTAAAAACTGAAGACAAGGTAGGTGTTATTATTTCCACTTCACATATATGGAAATGGAAACTTAAGTATTTTGCCCACGTTCACACTTGCTTTGTAATTAAATGAAAGACTTTCACATCCCAGCCTTTATGACCTTAAAGCCTACAGTGACTTAATTTCTCCACCAGACAAAGCACTGTGAAGAGCACTACAGGAGATGTACAAATCACATGGGCCTGAACTCATGGAGTTTGTAATCATGCTGCAGAACAAAGCCATTTTTACAGCGTAACAGAATACAATTATACTATTACCTGCATTCCTCCAGATCTTGTAATTGCTGCATTAGTCTATCCAACTGTTCTTCTAAATTCTGCTTTAATTTGCTTGTCTCTGTCTTTCCTCTGGAAGCCATTTTAATCTCTAAACAGAATAATAAACCCACATACAGTATATAGTTGGCTATCTAAAATGATTCAACATACCAGGAAAATTTTAAATAGGCTATACTCTTTCTTAGCTATAGGTGTGGGAAAGATAGTTGTGCAAAGAAAATCTCAATTTATAGATAAAAGTTTAAACTCACCCCACAAAAATGCTTGGCAGTTTTCTTTCTTTTTTTTTTTTCTAAGTGTTTTCATTTTAAATATTTCTTAAAATTAATTTTTTGAGAGAGAGGAAGAGAGGGAGAGACAGAAACATCGATGCAAAAGTGTAACATCTATCAGTGGCCTCCTGCATGCTCCCTACCAGGGATGGAGCCAGCAACCAGAGCATGTGCCCTGATCCCTGACAGGGAATTGAACTGGCAACCCTTTGGTGCATGGGATGGTGCTCAACCAACTGAACCACACTGGTGAGGGCCTGGCAATCTTTTTAATTGACTTGATGAATTAATTAGAAGTCTTCACTAGTGGGTCTATCTCACCTTAAACAGATATGATAGATGAAAATACAGATTTATGCCCTAACCGGTTTGGCTCAGTGGATAGAGCGTCGGCCTGCGGACTGAAGGGTCCCGGGTTCGATTCCGGTCAGGGGCATGTGCCTTGGTTGCGGGCACATCCCCAGTAGGGGGTGTGCAGGAGGCAGCTGATCGATGTTTCTCTCTCATCGATGTTTCTAGCTCTCTATCCCTCTCCCTTCCTCTCTGTAAAAAATCAATAAAATATATTAAAAAAAAAAAAAGAAAATACAGATTTATAAAGAAATAGATCAGGTGTGAATACAGATTCATTATAATATTCTTTTTCATTCTTAGTATGTTCCAGGACTTAGAACACTCCTAGGCCCTAGCTGGTTTGGCTCAGTGGATGGAGCATCGGACTGCGGACTGAGGGGTCCCAGGTTTGATTCCGGTCAAGGGCACATGCCCAGGTTGCAGGCTTGATCCCTAGTAGGGGTGTGCGGGAGGCAGCCAGTCAATGATTCTCTGTCATCATTGGTATTTCTATCTTTCCCCCTCTCCCTTTCTGAAATCAATAAAAATATATATTTTTTTAAAAAAGAACACTCCTAGTATTATCTTGCTGGTCGTATGTGTATTTACCTAATAATGTGTGGGCATGAACAACTTTTGATATGAATTTCTTCTTTGAAAATGTGCCCATTTCTACTCGATTGTATTTCCCTACTGACTTATATAAGATGGATACGAAGACTTTGTATTTATGTTGCAAATATTATCTCTTGTCTCCTGACTTTAAATTCTACTTATGATGTTTTTATCACAAAATTACTTTTAATGGTCAAATCTATCTTCTCAAGTCTTCTTAGTCTGTGCCCCATGAAAGCAGGCCCTAATTATCTCAAGATTGAAAAATATATTTTTTCTATTCTAAAACTTTCATATATGTATTTTTAACATTCAGCGCTTTAAGCCACCTACATTTTTTGCTAATGCTGTGAAGTTAGGGGTCTTTTATTTTCTTCCAGATGGATAGTCAATTGCCCAAACACTGTTTACTAGTCAGTATTCATTTATGCCACCTTTACTGTACTCAATCGTGGCTCAATAGTTTGTTTCATTGATAATATTCTGGTCCTAAGGCACTGCCTTGCTATTTTAATTTTTATAGCTTTAGAGCTGATGTATAATAATAACTGATAAGAAGTTGCTTTTATTACTGTGGGTTTCTTCCCCCCAATAACTCTTGGTTATTCGTGTGCATTTCCTTTTTTAGATATGTATTTCCAGAAGAAATTTAGATGAATTTAAAATCAGTCTGTCAAGTTTTCTTAGAAATTAAATTGAGCCCTAACTGGCTTGGTTCAGTGGATAGAGTGTAAACTTTCGGATTGAAGGGTCCCAGGTTCGATTCCAGTCAAGGGCACATACCTCGGTTGCAGGCTCAATCCCCATATGGGAGGCAACCAATCGATGTGTCTCTCTCACACTGATGTTTCTCTCTGTCTCTCCCCCTCCACTCTCTCTAAATATCAATGGAAAAATATCCTCGGGTGAGGATAAACAATAAATAAATAAATTCAATTGACATTTTGACAGGGCTTACATTTAAGTTAGACACTAATGTGGAGAAAACTCGTATCCTTGAAATTTGAATTTTCCTATCAAGCAATATCTATTTTATTTAGGCTTTCTTTTATAATTTTTAAAAAGAAAATATTTTTTTCACAAAGGCCTTGAACATTGGCTATTCTTAGCTATTTTGTATTTTTTGTTAATATTGGGAATAGGGTTTTCATTATTATAATTCCTGATTATTGCTGATGTAGAGAAGAGCTACTGATTTTGGTGTTGATATTGTATGTATCTAACATTTATAGCATTTAAGTTTTTCTATTTGTAAAAATTAAACTTACATTCCTTTCGGGAAACACATATTGCCTAGTATTAGGTATAAACCATTCATCGAAACCTAAATCCTAGGGTAACATATTAAAACACTTAACATTTTCCTACACATAATCATTATCAGATGATTTGATATGTGAACTTCAGTGAAGAGAATTCCTTACATCATTTTCAAGGTAGAATTTAACCAGTGAAAATCTACTCTTACTACCTGCCATATCTCTTAAAACTAAACAATCTACAATCATTCATAACATTTAAATGTAAATGAGTATAGCCAGAAGTGTAATTTTTGATAGCTATGCCTCATGTAAAATTTCTCCTGGAAATATATTTAAATTTTATTTTAAATCTGATGTATTTTCCAGAAAATTCAAGGCAAACCTGAGATAAAACCAAAAGTGCCTTTTCAGGATTAATTTCCTATAGTCTAACCATGCTGGACTACATGCTATTTCAGAAAATGCTATGAACTTTCATCCTTCTCTTGGGAGCCTGCTTTTTTTTCTACCTGACAAGCCCAGGTCATTCAGTCTTAAGGGTCTAGCTCAAGTCCACCTCCTCCATAATGCCTTCCTTGGTTACCCCCACTCACTAGGTTGTGAGTTATTTGAGAGTAGGGATTTTGCTTTCTCTTTATAAACCAGCATCTAGCACAACGCTGCACACACAGAAAGTACTGGATAAATGGCAAATCAATCATGAAAAGAGGAGTCTTTTTTTTGTATGTGGTTGTTGGCTTTTGTTGTTGTTGTTAATCCTCACCTGAGGATATTTTTTCCATTGCTTTTCAGAGAGTGGAAGGGAGGGAGGGGGAGAGAAAGAGAAACATCAATGTGAGAGAGACACGTCAACTGGTTGCCTCCCGCAGGCGCCCCCACCGCAGGACATGGAGAGAGCCAGCTACCCAGGTATGTGCCCTTGACCCAGAATCGAACCTGTGACCCTTCCATAGGCAGCCTATGCTATAACCACATAGCCACACTGGCCAGGGCTGCATTCCACATCTTATTCTCTATTTACTGCTTTTTTCTTCCTTGAATTATATGAGTTCATTATAGCGTGTTTTCTGTCTTCCTCTCCAACTGTAAAAGTTCTGAAAGCAGAAAATTAGTCTGATTCCGCTTAGCCTCGATACTCAATAACTGGATGAAGTGTATAAAGGCACAACGTATTTTAGGGAGATAAAGCTATTCTAAATAAATTCCAGAGAAACTTTAAAAGCCTTAACCTGGCGCTACATTGAGATTTACCCCAGAAAGATGAACTCGCTGGCACCATCTAGCATTCAATAAAGGTGGTGCATCTTTTACCAAAAACTAATCTGGAGAGGAAACTACTCATTTATGCTTACTTGTCTCTTTTTTTAAAAAACAAAACAAAAACTTTTTTATTTATTTCAGCGAGGAAGAGAAAAAAACATCAATGATGAGAGAGAATCGTTGGTTGGCTGCCTCCTGCACACCCCTTACTAGGATCTAGCTGCAACCCAGGCATGTGCCCTGACCTGGAATGAACGGTGACCTGGTTCCTAGGTTCCCGCTCAGCCACTGAGCCACGCCCACCGGGCTCACCCGTCTCTTATCACTCCGGACTCTGCACGGTGCTGACAGGTCTCAAACTGCATACACCTCCAGCTCTTGAAGTCCCAGTGTCATAAGCTTGAGGAAAGTGACACTGCTCATCAGAACTACAAGAAGCTCGGCGTGCAAACAAACCACCGTGGGGTGGAGCTGGCTGGGGAAAGAAAAACCATTTGCAAGTAGGTTTTATTCACTAGGTATAATCTTGGCCTAAAGCGGTCCAGATAGCTCCCACTGGGGCCGCCTGCAACTGAAACACACCCCCCTCTTTCTAGGAAGACATCCAGGGGGCCTCGTTGCGGGGGGGTGGGGGGTGGGGGGAGGGCGGGGAGGACAGCCTTTCTGAGATGTTTCCTAGTGCGGGCGTTACTGAGAAAACCCCCGCGCGAACTCGCCTAGAGGAAAGCTGTCAAGTCCAGAAGGGCACAGAGAAGTAAGGGCGGAGAGCACCCCTTTCCCGTTTCCGGCTGGAAGAGAGCTGCGTTTGGACCTCAACCTTCCGGACGCGGTCAGGGAGCAGCCCCGGCCACGGCCCCAAATCCTGTCTCCACGGGGGAACTTGAAGCTCCCGCACGCGGGTCCTGCGGCGGCCGGGCTCGACTAGGCCCCGGTTGCCACCAGTGGTCGCCGTGAACCCAACAGCCCGAAACTTTTCGGCCCTCCCCGACCAGAACCCGAACGACCTCTTCAGGATTTCGGGGTTCCCGCTTCGTCTCAGGCCCCTGGTGCTCAGAGTTGAGAGCCAGGGGCCCCGCCTACCTGCTAGTCCTGGGCTGGCGGACGCGCGCTGGGGGAGCACTTCCGCCAGACGTACGCACTTCCGGCCGCCTGGAGCCAATGAGGGCGCGGCCGCGGGTGTTCCCCTCGCTGGCGTCCGGGCTGCGGGTCGTCCGGCGAAGGACTCGGGCCGCTTTGCTCTGAGGACGCGGTAAGCCCCTACCCTGAGCCCCTGATAAACTCGTATCTAGGGGAGTCCCCCCAGCACCCCGTTTTGTCGCGAGCATAGGGGAGGCCAAGGCGGTGGCATCTTTGAGGGTCAAATACAGCGGTTGCCGAGGCAAGGTCATATTCAAGTTTGGGGCGAGGAGCTTGCCTCTTCATCCTTTTCTCTCTCCGTGGGACCAAAAACCTCGGTAAATTTGCCTCTGACCTTCGACACTGGTGCATTCACCCTGAAAAAATAAATAAATAAATAAATAAGAAAGTTCCTCTAGATGCGGCTTCTGGAGCTCGGCGGAGGTGGTGGGAGGCAGAGCAGGAAGTCCATTCTGAACGACTTCTCTTTCCTCCCAAATCTTTTCCAAATCAAAATACTAGGCCCCGCTTTCCCTGGTGCGGTTTGACACTCACGCCCCTCGAGAAGGAGACTAGTGAGCTGTGGGGCAGCACTTCAAAAATTACTGAGAAATTAGGTGGGAACCATTTTCTGCTGTTTCCCAGCCCATCTCCTGGAAGCGTCAGCAGGGTTTCTGGCAAATACGTCAGAGGTGTCACCTTTAAAGCTACTTCTTTTTTCAGGCGCCCAGGGTAAACTTCCAACTGATATTACCGGAGAACTCTACCAAAATGAGTTATTTCTGCCAGTTCTGCCTGATGGTGGAATTCCTTACTTCTTACCATAAGGTGTATTTCAGAGTTATAATTTGGGTGTGAAACCACTCTTCTAGCCCAAGTTAGAAAAGACTGCTGATGGGGATGTAAAGTACAGCATAGGGAATATAGTCAATAATATTGCAATAGCTATGTGTGGTGCCAGGTGGTTACTGGACTTATTCGGGGGATCACTTTGTAAGTTACTCAAATCCCTAACCACTGTGTCCACTGTAATGGGGAAAATGTGGGTTAAAATAAAGACTTTGGCACACAAGTTGGAATGGTTCAGTAGCTTACCTTGCAAAGACACTTCAGACTCACAGAATGCCCTTTGTAAAAGTATGTTAATGTAACTATCTCTCATTTCTGGTATGTGGATATATATGGAAGTGTCAACATTTTAAGCAACATGGAACCTTCAGTACAAATGAGGTCAGTGCGAAACAAAACAAAGCTGGAAGATACATTTTATTTCACCACTTGAAGAACTTGCTGAATCAACATTTGCTCTTGTGTACTTCCCCTAATTTTCCTGTTGGTAATACAGTATTCTATTCAGGCATTTGTGTTGGTTTTGGTGTGTGCAGTCTTGAAGCTGTGGAGGAAAGTGCTCACCCTACAAGCATTCTCTTTGCCTGCTCTTCTTTCTTAGTGATTAACCTGATCTAGTGGTTCTGTACCTTTGGCTTCTTGTTTATAGTAAATGGAGAATGAAAAAGTATTCCTTGTGCATAAGTAAGAGAAATTGGTTTGGGTTCCAGTCCTCATACAAAAATAGAACCCAAACCCTGGGAGTGGGGGAGAAGAAATTGTAAAACTATATATCAGGTAAGTAGTCATGGGAGAGAGCGTTGGAGAAAACAGCTTCAGAACTGAGAGTCATAACTGGGAAACCAGATACAGACACATTTCAGAGAGATTGGGGTTCTGTTCCGGACCGCCGCCATAAAGTGAGCGCCGCAATAAAGCGAGTCATCATCTTTCTCCTCGTGGAGGGGTTTGCCTTCAATTTGTAGAATAAAGCAAAAGCAACACCTGTGAAGCGAAATGAAATGAAGCACAATAAAATGAGGTAACGCCTGCAGATACTGCTTGATGGCTGCAGGAGTTTAGAACACTTCAACTTGGACTTGAGATGGGAGCCGACAGTGTGCAAGTTGCTCCAATGAGGTAGGGAAAATGCGGGGCAGATGAAACTTGAGTGACTAACAAGAAGTACCATGAGCCACCCTTGACCGTAATTGAACCCAGGACCCTTCAGTCCGCGGGCCGATGCTCTGCCCACTGAGCCAAACTGGCCATGGCAATTTCATTGTTGATGTATGAATTACTCAGGTTTCTAATCACTAAGTTTTCACAATATGTCTGGGATATGGAAGGTGCTAGAAAATGCCAGTGTTGTGGATAGTGAATGTGTTTCAGTAACTTCCCCTCCAGCAAGTCCCACCTGACCAGAGAAGCAGATGGAAACAGTTATTTCTACTGTGAGGGTCTGTGCCTGTCACCGATGTGTTTGGGAGATATTTACATCGAATCTGTCCCTCCTGCCAATGGACACTGGTCTTTTCCTCAGGAAACAGAGGCATCTCTACTTCCTAAAGACATTCAGAAGACCTGTGGGTAGCTAGGTCCTACTTAAACTGCCTTAGAATCTGTGACTACACAGAAAAAGTAAGAAGACGAAATACCATGTGCGTCACTTGGCTGTTTTCTAGATAGTAATCGACTGTCATGATGCAAAAGATTGTCGTAACCCATATGGAGGAGATTGTGATTATTTTTCATTCTTTTTACTCAAATTTCCCGCTGCATTTTTAAAGAAGCAATAAATTGACCTTGCTCAAACACGCAATCTGAATCACTCTTCTTTTGAAACTAAACCTTTGTTCATTACTAAGATTTATAGTTTTCTTCTTCCTTTTCAGTACTTATTTCTCTAGCAACCATGCAACTGTTGCTATCACTTCCCTGAAACAAAAAGGGAGGTTCAGAAAGTCAAAGCAGTGATCTTGAAAGTATTTCGGAGGAGATCCTTATTTGGGATGAGTTTGGTTGTGCTGTCAGCCCTGTGATTTGGGTTGACTCTTCCTTTTTATCCAATGTCAGTGCTCATTAATGCTGAAGGACAGCATTCTTTCAAGAGTGGCTTTGATGTGCTTCCTGTCGTAGCTCTGATGTTCGGCTGACCGTTTCATCTCGGGAGGAGCAGGGTAGGAGATGGTGATGTGCTTGCTGGCCGTGGTAGGTGCAGTGCTGCGGGGACAGCTCACCCTGCTGGTGACATGTATCCAAGGCAGGGGACCAGCCGGGCTTCAGACTGCTGGTTTAGCATCTGGTCTTGCACCGCCACACTGGCCAGCCAGAGCAGCCCCAGGCCTGAGAAAAGCACCGCGGATGAAGGATGGGATCTAATTCAGTGGAGTGGCAGTAACAGGAGAAGGGTGGCTTTTTATCTCCCCTCTAACCCTCTCTGCTTTTTCTCTTGCTTTTCAGACGCCTTAGCTTCTTGGACTTCCCTTTGCAGTGTGACAGTCCTAGCTGAGCAGTTACTTCCCCTGAGGGGCTGATAAGCCTTTGACAAAGGTGGGTTTTGAGGACGTTTGTTGCTCACCTGTAGAGACCGAGCTGCTCATTGACAGCAGCACAGACAAGGAGTAAAGTTCAGGAGTCTTTTTTTCTATATTTGGGAGGGAAAAAGCACTGTGAGGAATACTTGTCTGTTCATTGGAACATATATTTAATGTGCTTTTGCCACAAGGATTTAAACAGAGGCACTCACTTAGTAAGAGATGGAAGGCTTGCTGCTTAAGGTGCCAAACCTAGTCCAGTGGTCCCACTGTTAGTTAATATCTTAACTTAAAAAATTCTAGCAAAGTGGAATTCGCAAAACACACACATACAAAAAACCCTTGTGGGATTTTTTAAACTTTCCCTGGTGAAATGTGTAACTGTGACATGTGTCTAATTCGGAATTCTATCTCCACATACCTCTGTTTTTTAGTGTAAGTAGAGAATAAGTATCAAAGACTAACGGTGTATTGTATACAGCCAAGCTTTCAGATTAAGATGAGCCTTTAGAAATTCAGTATTTCAAACGTACGCAGTTAGTGGCCAGAACTGGTAACACCCTGGTGCAGACGCCTTCCCCGAAGGATCCCACACCGAATGCAGAAAACATCCTCTTTAGAGCCCGTGGGACCGGGCCCAGGTGAGTGAGCGGCACAGTGAAACCTAAAAGGATGGCAGGACAGCGTCACTGTCCTCGGCTTCAGCGTCTCAGAAATGCACTCCCGAGTGCAAACCTAAATCGAATGTGCTTCCTCGCTTCCCTTGGGTGGAGCAGAAATGCTCAAAAGCTAAGGATTTCCCTCGACAGGTCCTGCTCTTACTGGCGACGCGGGTGCTAATAACTGGGACTATTTTGGGAATAACTTCCTCATTATCTCAGTTAAATCTTCCAGCCAAACTGTGCCTATGGCACTCAATAACTACTTTTTCATTTTTATTTTATTTATTTTAAAAATATATTTTATTGATTTTTTACAGAGAGGAAGGGAGAGGGATAGAGAGTTAAAACATCGATGAGAGAGAAACATCGATCAGCTGCCTCCTGCACACCTCCTACTGGGTATGTGCCCTCAACCAAGGTACATGCCCTTGACCAGAATCGAACCTGGGACCTTTCAGTCCGCAGTCCAATGCTCTACCCACTGAGCCAAACCGGTCAGGGCTAAATGTGAATTTTTTCTTAAATTTCAATCCTTGAGCTCCTGAAAACAGGAAGTCCCATCTTACCATTTAGCAGACACTGAAGTGCTGGTCAGAGTGACTGCACACTCACCAGTTGCAAAGAAAGTAAAGATGGTATTACCAGCCAAGTTGTTGAGGAGAAGTTGACTACAGTACCGAGAAGAGCTGGGACTAAAATTCAATCCACTGGGTTACACATTACTCAGAAGAGATCGGCTACAAGCATGACACCAGAAGGTACTGCAACCCTGGGATTTTAACCCTAACCTGGCACTAGGTTCATTGGGCTCCGGGCAGCTCACTTCTCTTAAGGACCGTAGTTCCTTTAGCATGGCTCAAATTAATGCTGTAAGACAGCCCACCAGTAGCATTGAGTTATTAATAGTCATAGTTGGTGGACAAATAAAGTTTGCCATTTTTCTAATTCATGTTAATTTGCTATTTTGGTGAAATATTTTTGTGGAGCCCAGCCGGTGTGGTTCAGAGGTCAGGCATCAACCTATGAACCAGGAGGTCACGGTTCAATGCCCTGGTTGCAGGCTGGCTCCCCAGTGTGGGGCGTGCAGTAGGCAACCGATCAATGATGTATCTCTCATCATTGATGTTTCTGTCTCTCCCTCTCCCTTTCCATTCTGAAATTAATAAAAAAATATTTTTTTAAAGAAAGGAAAAACAAGAAAAATATTTTGTGGAAATTCCAGCTTTTCAGAGTAAGGGAATATGCGTTACTGCACACAAACATCCTATAATAGGTTTGAAGTCGGCCAGTTACAGTGTCACAGTTCCCGTCCCTTCTCTGTCCCTTAAGTGGGTTCTTAGTTTTCAGGTATTTGTTGAATATCAATGTTCTCAGAACTGCAATTCTCTTATTTTGAATGTGCCAAATTGCATTTGTTTCATTTGTCCAATAAGAAAGTTAACTGATTTTTTTTTTTCTGCCAAGACTAATTTCCAACGTAGAATCTAAACTAACATAATCAAGGCATAATCTGGTGGAGTGTGCCTGTGTCGCCCTCAGCCCTACCGACATCAAGTAATGCAGGGCTATAGGGACTGCTCTGTGGGGAATAAATAGAGACATTGGTTCCCTCATTGTCTCTTCTTATGAAATTAAACTCAGTCTGCCCAAATCCAGTGATTCTCACTGTATTGAGATTGTTGACTTTTCCAAGAAGTGAAGTGGGTGACTCCCGTCGATGATAGGGGCAAACACAATGGGGCAGACGGCAATTAAACACGTGACAGGAATCGCAGAGAGCACCCGAACCGCCCCCACAGCTGAGACCCAGACCACCCAGCTGCCAGGTGAGGGCTTGGCCGATGAAAGAACTTACCTTAGCAGAATGTACAACTGGAGAGCCAGAGTGGCGAGGCTGCACGGGACACAGTGAGTTACATTTTACACAACCGCTTGGTGATGAACTGGCTTCCAGAAACCAAAGCCAGGGTCTGTTTCAGGATAACGTAACTTTAAACCACAGAGGTAGAGTTTCACACATAGCAAAGACGAATTGAGATCCATCCCATTAGAGCAAAATTATGTCTAAGAATACTCCAATAAGAATATTAAAAGTGCCTTGCCCGGTGTTGCTCAGGGATTAGAGCATTGGCATACAGACAGAAGGGTCTTGGGTTCAATTCTTGGTCAAGGCTCTTGACTCAAGGGCATGTTCCTGGGTTGCAGATTCGACCCCAAATGCGGGAGGCAACCAATCAATGTGTCTCGCGCCGATGTCTCTCTCTCTCTCTCTCCCCCTCCTTTCTCCCACTCTCTAAAAATCAATGGGGAAAATGTATGTGGGGAAGGATTAACAAAGGGAGGGAGGGAGAGAGGGAGGGAGGAAGAAGGAAGGAAGGAAGGAAGGGAAAGGAAAGGAAAGAAGGAGAAAGGAAGGATATTAAAAGTAGCTACCGTTATTCAGCTCCTACTATATCACAGGCACTGTTGATACTGATTTCTAAGGAGTCTTTAGAACTTTGGTTCTTTTTTCATGACTAAATTAATGCGCTAAGGCAGTCCACAAGTAATAGCATGAGTTATTAATACTCAGTAGACAAATGTGTCATTTTACATGCATTTTCTCACTTAATATGCACGAATCCTATGAGGTAGAGACTGTGGTTCCCCATTTTGTAGATGAGGAAACCAAGACTCTGATTGTGTCTGAGGACAAACACCTCGTAGTAAGAGGTAGAGCTAGAATGTGAGCCAGGTCTGAGAGTCCTAACTGGGCCCCTCTGTGGTGCTACCTCTGCCTCCAGCCAGACGGTTCACGCTGAGCATCACTTATAAACGGAGGCTACCCTGCCGACCGCCACCTAACCACCAAGTGAAGTCTGCTGTTACTGCTCAGGCATTCTGGAAACTTTTGCGGTTACGTGTATATAGTTTCCGTGCATGGGAAAATCTTCGTCATTAACGAGTAGTTTTAGCTCTTCACCATAAACTCTTTTAGTCATTTTTTTTTTAAATATATTTTATTGATTTTTTACAGAGAGGAAGGGAGAGAGATAGAGAGTTAGAAACATCGATGAGAGAGAAACATCGATCAGCTGCCTCCCGCACACCTCCCACTGGGGATATGCCCGCAACCCAGGTACATGCCCTTGACCGGAATCGAACCTGGGACCTTTCAGTCCGCAGGCCGACGCTCTATCCACTGAGCCAAACCGGTTTCGGCTCTTTTAGTCATTTTTATTATTTACTTTATTCATTGGGTTTAGCACTGAATGCCTTTAGGGTATTTGTAGAAATCAAATTTACCCTCAAGAGATTTATCCCCAGTGAAGGTCCTCTTATGCCCCCAGGTTATTGAAAGTAGTGGCCTGTTGTTAGAAGGAGAATACAGTTACATGCTTAAAGATATGTTTTAAAAGGAACAGCTTCTTAGAGGTGTAAATTCCAGAGGTTGTCAAGTCTGCCCCATTATTTGAGTCAGCGATGCAGCACCCTGAAATGTGACAAAAGCCACACAATTCCTGTTCTTTCTGGAAAAATGAATGTTCTACACACTGGCTTCTTGTTTAGAAAATGTTTCATTACTGTTTACACATCAGTGTTTTTAAAACTTCCTAAGAAGGTCCGTGAAATCGAACTTGAAAATGGAAAGTACATTTTCGTTACACGTCAGGACCCCCTCAGAAAGAAATGACGTCCGTCGCCCTGGGCTGGGAGGGACACCTACAGCCCGAGCTGGTGAGACCTGGGCCGCCAGCAGTGCACCTGGTAGGCCGAGTGGGCCAGACGGAAGTGGATCATGGCGACACCTGTCCTCGAGCACCTGGAGCAAGGCAAGGCGGAGCCCAGACAGGCCTGTTAGAGCTCCCAAACCACCTCTCCCAGCGGCCCCTGCCCGCCCCTTCCCTGCACAGGTACCTGCGGGCCCGCAGGAGAGGTCTTCTCCTGAGAGGGGCAGGTCCTTTTGTTTTTAAGCCGCCCTGGGCTATGGTCGGAGCTCACTGTAACTTAAGTCTCCTTAGCTTTGAGCGTCTGACCTCAGGTTGGTGGTGTTCATGGTGGATCAAGAGGACTGAGCAAGACATCTGAGGCAGGTCCTGACTGACAAGGGAGAGAGCTTTCTTTAAGCTGAGAAATCAGCTTCCCGAGCCCTTCCCCTGGGAGTCCTTGGAACCTGAGCGCATCCCCAAGGGCAAGGGGGGCTTCGAGCTCTTTGTTCCACCCATCCCTGTGCAGCAGGCGGCTCCCCTGGGCACCAGTCCCTCCTGACCTCGGCCGTCCTGTTCTTCCAGCTCCCAGCTCAGTCTCCCTGGGGGAAGGTACCTGAAACCTGAGATGGGTGGGGCTGGAATTGACACCTGGCTCCAGCTGAACTCAACCCCTCAGCTCTAACTAACAGGCATTCCCCACGGGAGCAAAACAGTTCAGTTCAGTTTTCAGAACTGAAGGTGATGCCTTTGAGCTGGAAAGGGCCCACTCAGTGTCCAGCACAGGGCAGGACAGAGCCGCACCACAGGGCATCACTGAGCTTTCAGAGCACTGGGCAAAGGGCAGATCTCATGGGCTTCAAGGGAGAAAATAAACGTCACACTTAAAGGATCCAGAATGGAAAGTGACTTCGGCCCAGCCGGTGGGGCTCAGTGGTTAGAGCGTCAACCAGTGCACCAAAGAAGGGCACATACCTGGGTTGCAGGTTCGATCCCTGCCCCCTGTCGGGGCATGTAGGAGGCAACCAATCGATGTGTCTCTCTTACATCGATGTTTCTCTCTCTCCCTCCTTCCACTCTGAAAATCAATGGAAAAAATATCCTCCAGGGGAGAATTAAAAAAACAAAACTGACTGGATTTTTCACCGTTAGCACTGCACTCTCAAAGTAGTGCCTTCAGAATTCTGGGAGGTGATTTTCAACAAAGACTAGGATCTGCCAAAAGAAATAGCTGAAAAAGTTGACTGGGATTGCTTTGGGAGCTGGATGAAGGGGTTGGTGAGCGGGATATGGCCGATGGCTGTCACCCTGAGATGTCTCAATCTATAATCATTTAATAAAAGTTTTTAATAAAAGCTTTAGATCACGTGTCTCGCATTACTTCAGTAGGTTTATGGAAAGATCAAATGGAATAATTTGAATGAAAAAGAGGTTTGTGAAGGGTAAACTGTTATTCAGCGGAAAGTGACGTGATCATGTTGACTTAGAGGCAGAACACTGGTTTGAAGGGCAGGTTGCTGGGGAGTTACCCCGAAGATGACGATGTCACTGTGTCCGTTAACTGTGGCCACAAAACCACAGCAGCGTGCAGCAGTGGACATTCGTTTTTGCTCGTGAGCCTGGGTCAGCTGTGGGTTTGCTGATCCGGGCCAGGCTCAGCCGATCCCACCTGGGCTGGCTCTCGTGTTGCGCTGGTTGCGGTTTGGCCCGTCCCCGATGGCCTTGGCCACATAACTCATGGCCGGCTGTCTGGCAGCAGGAGCACCGCGCTCTCTGCGTGCCTGTCACCCTCCCTCAGGCTGGCCGGGGCCCGTGTGGTGGCCGGGGCAGGAATCCGAGAAAAAGTAAGAGTGTGCAAAGCCCCACCTGGCAGACTGTCACATCTGCCACATCCTTTTGGCCAAAGCAAGTGACACAGAGTGGGAAGGAGCTCCCCATCCTTTGTGGTAGGAGCTGTAAGTTCACGCTGAAAAGGAGGGTGGAGAAATGGGGCCACTGTTTACAATTCATGGAGCGCAGTCATCGAAGCCAAGAGTTCTAATCCATCTATTGGGAATGAGAACACAGAAGGGGGTCAGAAAGCCTGTAACTGGTGTTCCTTTTCCTTTGTAGACCACCCGGGAGGTGCCAGAGTGTGCCGCTCAGATCAGCGCCGTCAGGGTCCTAGCATGGAAAATCCCCAGAAGACAGAAGTGGTTCTCCTGGCCTGTGGCTCCTTTAACCCAGTCACCAACATGCACCTCCGGTTGTTTGAGCTGGCCAGGGACCACATGAACGCAACAGGTAGGAACAGTAACAAACGCAACGGTGGGGTTCAGAACACTACCCCCAAATACGGCCCCGCGGCATATTGGGTATTTTGAGCCGAAGGAGTTTGAGAAACCTGCAGAGTCAGGGAGGTCACTCGGCCCTCCTCCCCACCCTTCTCCTCTGAAGCAGGTCACAAAACCCCATGTGAGAGGCACCCCCCCATCCCCAGAAGAAAGGCGCATCCTTAGCTCTGAAAACAAAGGGATGCCAGGAAGAGTCTGAATGAAAGAGCCTTCGTTAGTTTCCCTGCACTGACTACTCTCACCTGGTGCTCTTTGCCCCTTCTGTTTCTCCGCTGCTGTCTGCTCTTCAAACCTAGCGTGAAACACTCAGGCCCCCCTGTTTCCTGGGGTCTTCATTTCCTTAGGAAGGTTCCCGTGTCCTGTAAACCTTACATTAAACAAATGTGTGCTCTCCTCCTATTCGTTTATCTTTCTCAGTTTCATGTTCAGACCTAGCCAGGGACCGACCCGAAGAGGGTCAAGGAAAACCTTTTCCTTCCCTCCATAGACAAGATTTCTTTTGTTACACAAACTCATGCTCTATGCTAGAGCATAGCTAGATAGATAGGAGGATGGGTGCTCATACTCACTGATAAACAGGAAACTAAAATTAAAAATGAGACACAGTTTTCCCATCACACGCACAAACATTTTTAAACTTCACAGTGTCAACTATCAGAGGTTGGGGAGATTGAGGCTCTTTTTATACTGTAGGTGGACAATACAACTTGATTAAGGCATTTTACAAAGCAGTTCTATGTGTTGTCTATTTTACCACAATTATGAATGAATGAATGAACCTGAATCCCTGTGTAAAAAATAGAAAGGGAATATTTGATTAAAATCATATCAGTGGAACTATTTCCTGTGCATAAAGTCTAATTTGTTATACCTCATGTCAAACCTAACTCTCTACCCAGGAAAATACAGGGTTATCAAAGGCATCATTTCTCCTGTTGGCGACGCCTACAAGAAGAAAGGTCTCATCTCTGCCCATCACCGAGTGATCATGGCACAACTTGCCACCCAGACTTCCAGCTGGGTGGAAGTGGACACCTGGGAGAGTCTGCAGAAGGAGTGGGTGGAGACTGCGAAGGTGCTAAGGTATCTGTGGGGAAGTGAGCTCTGTGGGCTCCCGGGAACGGGTCGGCGCCTTTCTTGGGTTGGGCCACGTTTTCGTGCTGCCGGTGTCTGAGCTACAGGTTTACAGCGCGGTCCCTAGTGCTGGAAGGGCTGAGGTGTGCGGTTCCCGTGCGAGGTCGTTGCACAGCGTGGAGCACAGAAGCAGGCAGCGTGTTCCCGAGCCTGTGTCTTGCATTGTGTGTTGAGATGTTTGCATGATGGTTACTGTGCGAAGCTCTGTTAGCAAATGTGCAGGGAAGCCTGCCGGCCTGGCAGTGCCCGAGCGAGAGAGGCAGAGTTGTAAGATGATGTCATTGCCATCAGTCTTCTGAGAGGCAGGTATTCAGGACAGGAAGCTGTGATGCTGGGTCATGGACAGACCTGTCTGTGCGCTGCTTCCGTGACAGCATACGGGCTTGTCACACACCTGTCTTACACCTTTGAGACAGTTCCAGGTAAGGGTTCAGAAACCAGAGTGAGTGACATCTAGTTATTACTTAATGTTATCCTATATAATAAAGAGATAATATGCAAATTAACCCTCACGCCCTCACAAGATGGCTGCCTACAGCCAGGCTGGCAAGGAGGGTTAGTGAGCATCTGCGAGGGACAATGTTTGGTTGAGCTCTGTGAGGAAGAGGACTGTTCTGTTGCTTTGTTGTTTTATAGACACCACCAGGAGAAGCTGGAGGCTAGAGGCTGTGAGCAGCAGGACTCCCCTGTGCTGGAGAGGCCTGGCCGGAAGAGGAAGTGGGCTGAACAAAGATCAGAATTGAATCAGAAGAAGACCCTAGAGCCACAAAGAAAAGGTCTGCATGTTTTCCCAAGACTTGCCAGCTGGAGCGGATAGGGTTCTAGAGCTGAGCAAGCCCCCTTTCTATTTCCATCTTCTTTTTTTAAAATAAATTTTTATTGATTTCACAGAGGAAGGGAGAGGGAGATAGAAACATCAATGATGAGAGAGAATCATTGGTCAGCTGACTCCTGCATGCCCCTCACTGGGGATCGAGCCCACAACTGGGACATGTGCCCTGATCGGGAATCGAACCTTGACCTCCTGGTTCACAGGTCGATGCTCAACCACTGAGCCACGCCTGCCAGATCTAGTTCCATTTTCTATTCAGTACATGGGGTGCCTGGAAAACGCCCTCGTAGGTTTGCTGAGGGAGGGAGGGGCGGTGCGAGGCATCCTGAGCTCCTGCCCCTGCAGTCCTTAGCTTCTCAGCTGTCCTCGGTCTCTTTTGAGAATCAGAATCGGAAAAAGCAGAACCTTCTTTCCAGAAAAACACGCCCACACATTCATTTTGACGCCGGGAGTTATTACATAGCAAACCCTGACGCAGTGTTTTCTTCTTTGTCCCAGACGTGCCCGAGGTCAAGCTGCTCTGCGGGGCAGACCTGCTGGAGTCCTTCGGTGTCCCCAACCTGTGGAAGCGCGAGGACATCGCCAACATCGTGGGGGACTACGGGCTCGTCTGCGTCACCCGGGCTGGAAACGATGCTCAGAGATTCATCTACGAATCGGATGTGCTGTGGAGACACCAGGCCAACATTCACCTGGTGAACGAATGGATCACCAACGACATCTCGTCCACGAAGATCCGGCGAGCCCTCCGAAGGAGCCAGAGCATTCGCTACTTGGTACCAGATCTTGTCCAAGAATACATCGAGAAGCATAATTTGTACAGCGCCGAGAGCGAGGAGAGGAACGTCGGGGTCATCCTGGCGCCTCTGCAGAGAAACACGGCCGCCACTAACTCAAGAACTACCACAGCGTGAAGCTGCATGCCTCCCCTGGGGGGATCTGAAACTGTCTGGGTGTCAGCAGTTTAATTGATTTGAGCCAGAGAGAGCAGCTGGGGGAAGGAATTGTGATCCTCTTTCATACATTGAAACTTGAAAGTTTGGTAAAAATCAGTAGTAAATTAAAATCAGGTTTATTTTTTTTTTCTTTTTACCAGAAGTTGCGAAGGTGAATGTTTTCAGTATTACCATCTTTTTTGTTTTGAATGTGCAAATCCTTTTATCTTTAAAACGAGATTAGCAGCACTCTAACCAGAAGACTGTTTAATCAAATTAACTATAAATCAGAAGGCAAAAAGGACATCTGGCTTTCTCATACTAGAGAAGCAAAGTCTGAAAAGCCAGGTGCATTTAAAGGCCTCACATTAGTTATGAAGGAACGAACACTTATGGATGCCTAATTCTGGGCCGAAAAAGTCACTCTTGCAAAAGGCAGCACGGAGCGGCCATCTCCAGCTGTGCACAGGCAGGCTGGGAATGTGCCTGGCAGCAACCTCGGGCCCACAGAATGGCTGGTTAGGCTTCACCAAGATACACCTGCCTAGAGCTCCGCCTTTGGAGGCAGGGAGTGGGGTCCAAGCCCTGGCATGTTTGCAGAGGCGGGCAGGTTTCTCCGATGCCCCCTGGTGGGAGAGAGCCTGTGCGTCACGTGTCTTATACGTTCTCCTAGCACAGCCCTAACCCTGGCCACCCACCCTCGTTTATCCTCAGGAGCCACTTTGGAGATGACATCACGCTAATGCAGTGTCTTATTCAAGAATGTGGTTAAGTGTCAGTGCTCTAAGCTTTATGGGTAGCTTAATAAGCAAAAGACAAACGGAGACCTTAAACACATGAGAAACGCCCTGCTTGTGGCCAGAGTTTCAGCTCAGGGTTGGGGCGCTGGTGAGAGGTGTAGAGGCCATCAGCCCCGCCTGCGCTGAGGGTCTGAAGAGCCTGCTGTTTCGTTGCAGCCACAGTGAAGCTGCCTTTTGTGAATCTGTACATTTTTCTCTTCTTGTCCCTTTGTGTGGACTTTATTTTTTTTATTATTTTTTAAAATAATTTTATTGATTTTTTACAGAGAGGAAGGGAGAAGCATAGAAGTTAGAAACATCGATGAGAGAGAAACATCGATCAGCCGCCTCCTGCACACCTGCTACTGGGGATGTGCCCTCAACCAAGGTACATGCCCTTGACCGGAATCAAACCTGGAACCCTTCAGTCCCCAGGCCGATGCTCTATCCACTGAGCCAAACTGGCTAGGGCCCTTTGTGTGGACTTTAATCAGGGCAGAACTCCCAAGTAATAAAGTCATAGCTCTATGTTAAAAATACAAGCTTGCTATATGATTTGATACTGATAAAAATTTAGTGGACATTTTACCAATTGGTAAAGCAAAAAGGCCAGAAATAGTTTTTTTATGGAATAGTGTTGTGGTTTGTGAAAATCATTCTGTGATAGAAACAGGACTAAAGTTACATTTCCAATGAAAATAGAATACCAGTAATCTAGCTTTTGCAATTTATATTTCATACCTACACCACTCTAGATGAAGGATTTATAACTGCAGAAGAAAAACATAACCGTGCAACTGCATAGTCCAATCTGTACCCACAGTTCACAAAGGAAAAGGTTAAATAAAGCCAGCAAATAAATGTGCATCCTACAGCTCCTGACATTATTACTAATGCCAACAGGTCAACTTCTTGAAGACGGGAAGGGTTGCAAAGCCTGGCACCCAGCAGTTTTCTCGCTATCTGCTGAGTGAATGCAAAGTTAGAATCTCAGGTCATAGAAATGGGGTCATTCTTCTCCCTCCTTAGCTTTGTGGAACCTAAGAGTTGGAGCAGAACTGAAAAATAGCCATCTAAAAGCAGCTGAAGCTGTCAAAATGTAACTTTGATGTCTTCTCCTAGAAAACTAGTTAGTTCACCTGAAATATTGTGGGAGCTGCAGACAAGTTCCAATGCTAGAAATTTCTCTCATACTCTGTTGCCTCGCTACCTAGAAGTACGTATACCCTACTCAGCTATTAGTGTGTGTGTGTGTGTGTGTATTTATTTATTTTTAAATTGATTTCAGAGAGGAAAGGACAGAGAGAAACATCAATGATAAGAGAGAATCATTGATTGGCCGATCCCTGCACACCCCATACTAGGAATTGAGCCCACAACCCGGGCATGTGCCCTGACCGGGAATCCAACCATGACCTCCTGGTTCATAGGTTGACGCTCAACCACTGAGCCACGCCGACTGGGCAGCTATGAGTATATTGACCTCAGGCCCCACTGGGAAGGCCTGGGGGACCCTCCCAGGAGAGCTGGCCATGGTGAAATGGCCCTTTGTTGTACTATTCATGGATCAACAACTTTGTACATTGAACGAGCTGCTTGACTTTTCCCCCCGAGACCAAGGATGCTGCTAATGCCACAGCATAATAGCACAGTTCTGGGTGTCTTCAAGGACAGAACTTCCTCTTTGGAGAACGGACATTAGAACAATGAGCTCCGCAGGGGAATAAATATCAACTGTTGTGCCCTCCAAGGAGGAAGAAGAAAATGTGCCATTGTTGATCCTGCACCAGGCCTTTCTCATAATTTGCTTTTGTAAAGCGAGAGTCTGGGCAGTGTGGGAAGCTGGTGTTTTGTTTGTTCGATGCTGGTGATGTTGCGTCGTGCTCCTTTACCCCTCGAGTGGCATCGCGTACACGCTGCAAACAAACGCGGTAAGTCCTTTCCAGGCCGCTTCACCAGCTTCCCTCAGTGGAACGTACCACGCACATGGAGATATTTTTTTCTGTTGTTTACCAGTTGAGTGGACAACCGGGAACAGCAAACCTTCTAGAGAAGAGGAGCAGGGCCCTTCCACCATGGGAGGATATAACCAGCAGTCTGCAACCCCCTCCGAGGGTCCTCACCCGACCACACCGGCGCCTTCATCTCAGATTTCCAACCTCCAGAACTTGGCATCCCCCGGCAATCAAGGTTCAATGTCAAAAGCCTAGGCCAGTCTCCTTCGCCAAGGAGATGAAGAGAAGGGGTGTTGTAGGTAACATAAAGGAACGTGCTCGGCTGGAGCTGCATTTTGTGCATTTGCACTGTTAACTATTTGTGGGTAAATGATGCTTCTAACAAAATAACAAAGCCACATTATGGAAACAAAAAAAAAGGAGGAGGAGGAGGGTTCTCCTTGGTGATCAGGGTACAGGGACTGAACCAAAGGGATATGTAGGCTCATCTCCTGGCATCAGAGGCGGCTTTTTTTTCCCATTTGAGGACCTCACCACTGGGTAGGAGAAAGCACCCCCCAGGCCGGGGCTGCTTCTTCCACCCCAGCCTCCAGGTCCCTTCTCTGGGAGCTAGAGGTCATTGTATTGTGAAATGGGCTCCTTTAACACTTCGTCTGGGTGCCACGGGACGTCCGTTCCTTTGCCATCCTCCCGAAGGCCTCTTGCTCTAAAACATGCCTTGCAGCTCCCACCCCAACATGAGGATGTGTGGACAGGGCCATCTCTGAAAGCTGTACCTCGCTGAACGGGCGCTGTTGGCACTTGCTGTGTGCTGGGCATGTGCTGGGCCTGGTTTCAGGAACAGCACAGTGAGGTGACTGGGGCCAATGGGAAACAGGCCCGAAGGAGCAGTTTGTCTCCGAGCCTGTGCTCTTGATCACTCACCTTACATAACGTATCATTTTTCAAGGAATGTTTTAGCCAAATCTTGACATTTTCATCCACCCTAAGTGGATGAGTACAAGCAGATAAAACGTTCAACAGTATGATAGTCTGATGGCGATGGCTGATGGGTTCAGTCCACCCAGACGGACCCAGTTGAACTTGCCGTGTTAGCAATGCCTTGGAACTGGGCAGCCAAAGCCCAGAGGGAGGAGGTGGTATAAACCGTAGTTCACACACAGAATGAGTGGAGGAAGGAAGGGAGGGAGGGAGGGAGGGAGGGAGGGAAGGAGAAAGGAAGGAAAATGGCCCAGATGCCCATGCCAGCCCCATGAGGCCAGCATGCAGGAATGGTGCCTGTGAGGCGAAGGCGCTTCTCTGCTGGGGGTGGTCTCAGCGCCAGGCATGTCGGCCAGCTGCTCGCAGAGGGAGTCGCTTGGCGCTGTCCCTTTCTCTAGAATAACCAATGACCTTGGCGCCCCTTCCAGCTCTGAAATGATGTCGACCCGATGGAGGGTTGGCGCTCCCACTGGTTCTCACTGCTCTGAGCTGCCACCTGCCCCTTCCCTTCTGCGGGACCTGGAGGTCCGTCCTGGATCCCTGTCATGGTGCTACGTGCCCAGGGAGCACAAGTTGCCCACAGCCAGGTGGGGAGGAAAAACCCAGTTTTAGCATCAGCAAGGGACTCCCCAGGACCAGTCCTGACAGTTTCCTAGAAACGAGCACCCCCGGGCCCTGCAGGACAGGAAACCAGGCCAGAGGCCGTTCCAGGGGGAGCAACTCAAGGTGTCCAGACTGATGGGGAACATGGCAAAAAATGACATTTTCAAAAATTAAGCAAAAACTAGAGCATGAGCGAAACTAGTGGTAATAGTCGAAGGAACCCCTCTGGAGCCCTCACCAGCTCCCATCGTAACGCTCTGCCAATCTCGCTGCATCCACACCCTCATTTTTCTGGGATCTTTGAAAGCGAATCTCAGGTGCATAATTTCATCCACAACTACATCCATGTGAGGCACACCCGAGTCTCATTTATATGTGAAAACAATTGCACTACAGACCAGCAGGGGGAACCAGGAAGCCCAGGACAGTCAAGGAAGGGAGGAGGGTGTCTTGTTTTCAGAGTTTATCTTGATTTTTTAAGGTATAATTGGCCCATAACATATTAGTTTCAGGTGGACAGCCTAATGATTGTTACTTGTATGTTGCATAGTGGTCACCGTAATAAGTCTAGTTAACCTGTCTCAGTACACAGTTAGAAAATTTCTGTGCGTGCGCAAGTGCCAGGAGAAAAAGGAGGTGTTTTTTAAAGAATCATTCGGCCCTATTCCATCTGCCTCAGGACCTCAGGAAAAACAGCTTCATGGGGAGTCAGCAGAGCATGAGGAAGGCCCTCAGATTTTTCTCTGCCGCGCAGTACAGAAGAGCAGGGCTGAGGCGCCCCGTGGTCTTTGTCCAAATTCAAGGAAGCGCAGCCCTAACTTACCTTCTTCAAGGCAGATTCTTGGGGTCCAGGAATTAATGGGCTGGTAGTGCAGCTAAAAGTACCGTGTCACCAGACAGACCCGAGTTTCCAGCCCCACTGTTCTTGTTGCAAGAAGAGTGCTCAGGAAGTACAAGCATTTTATTTGGCACTTGTTAAGTGCCCTCAGCAAGTAAACATGCTCAGAACCGAACCACAATTAGCTTGTCTTGTGCCCTCAGACCAGTTGGAAAAGGCAAATAAAGGGACAGGAGTGCCCTGATTTTACTGTCTCTGTCAGGGCGTTTTCCACCGGGAGCAGCAGGAAGCTCACTCCCAGCGATTTCAACAATAGGGACCTTTACCAGCAGCGGAGACAGAGGGCAGGCAGGACTCAGGGTTCTCGGGTGCAGTGAATCAACCGTGTCAGCAGGGACCCCGGTTCTTTCCGTCCCTCTGCTCTGCTGGTCACGTGTCCTGAATCAGGTGCCCCTTAGTCGTAGGATGGCCACCAGTAGCAAGTCTTCCGTGTTCATTTCAGAAGTGGAGAAAGGCTGGCTCTCCACAGCTGTTACAATCAAGCCTCTCCCAGCTAGTGTGGTTCAGTGGTTAAGCGTCAACCTATGAACCAGGAGGTCATGGTTCCATTCCCGGTCAAGGGCACATGTCTAAGTTTCAGGCTCGATCCCCAGTAGGGGGCATGAAGGAGGCAGCCGATCAATGATTGTTATCATTGATGTTTCTCTCTCCCTCTCTCTTCCTCTCTGAAACCAATAATATATATATTTAGGGGAAAAAAAGACTCAAAAACAATCAAGCCTCTCTCAGCAGCCCCATCAAACTTCTCATATCTCGTTGGCTGATTCAGAGTCATTTAAACCTGCTTGTCCCTAAAATCAACCACTGGCAAAGGAGGTAAGATTTCTGTGATTGGCTAAGCCTTCAACCAATCCAGGAATTACCCCCTGGGACTGGGCCGCGCTCCCTGATGACACGGCTTCCTTGCACTGGGAGGGAGGCGTGGATGGTATGAGGTCCACTTCAATGTCTACACTGTTCTTTGCTGGCCCCGTATCAGGCTCCATCAAGTGAGAGAGACTGGTTCTCCTACAAGTGCCCCTCATCAAGTCCCATCCATTACCGACTAGGAGGAGCAGTGTTTGTACCCAAGGGTAGGACCTGGTCTTGGCTATAATTTTATGGTTTACTTTGCCAGTATCAAATGGAAGGAAAGAAAAGGCTCAAATTTAGCCACATTTCTCCCCTTTTTCCTTTTGGAGATAATTTTATCCTTGTCTAGAAGAAAGATTTTAGAATTGTAAATGAGAAAAATTGCCTAGCCCGTGTGGCACAGTGGTTGAGCATTGACCTATGAACCAGGAGGTCATGGTTCAATTCCCAGTCCAGGTACATGCCCGGGTTGCAGGCTCGAGCCCCAGTATGGGGCATGTAGGAGGCAGCCAATAAATGATTCTCTCTCATCATTGATGTTTCTATCTCTCTATCCCTCTCCCGTCTTCTCTAAAATCAATTAATAAAATAAAATAAAATAAAAAGGAGAAAATCACTCCTTATCCCATGGGCAAGTCCAATTTATGGCACTTCAACCAAAATTCAACCCTAGCCCTACTAGATGGCCCTTGCCCAGGCTGGCCAAAAGCCATACCTTACCAGCACAGATGCTAAAATCATTATTACTTATTTCTGTGACCTTCATTTTCAGGCCAAGATTTAGAACAATAAGATTTTAAGGATAGGAAGTAAGCATGATTTCTCCATATCCTGTTCATCTGGAATTTAAACAGGCTTCATGCTCCAGAAATCTAGTCAGAGTTCATAGTTCTGTGCCCATTAAATGGCAAGGTATAGGTAATTCCAGGGTTTGAAAGCAGCCTGTCATATTCCACTAAAGCAGTGGTTCTCAACTTTGAATGCACATTAGAATCACCTGGGACTCTTTTTCAAATCCTGATTTCTGGGCCTCATCCTCTGGAAATTCTGTTTCTTTGTTATGGGGTGGGGCCACAAAATACCACGTGCGGGCGCGCACGTACAGTGTGATTGAAACTTCGTGGCCCATGCGCAGAAGTCAGTGTTTTGTGGAAGAGCCACACTCAAGGGGCCAAAGAGCCGCATGTGGCTCATGAGCCGCGGTTTGCTGAGCTGCAGTTTGCTGACCACTGGGTTAGAGCATCGTCCCGATGCACCAGGCTGCAGGTTCCATCACCTGTCGGGGCACATCCAAGAACCAACCAATGAATGCCTAAACACGGAGAACAGCAAATCAATGTTTCTCTCTTCCTCTCTCCCCTCATTTCTCTCTAAAACCAATCAATACGTGTTTTTCTTTTTAAAAAAAGGCAGTCAACAAACGAACCAAAAAGAGATCATTGTGAATTATGATCATTATGAAGGTAGTAAGCAGAGATGTGATGCAGACTAACTGTATGGTGCCGCACCAGCACAGCCAGGTTCGGTGAGCCTGAGCGGGGGGCAGTGAAGGATTGAGAAAAGACAAGACAAGCCCTAGCCGGTTTGGCTCAATGGATAGAGCATTGACCTGCGGACTAAAGGTCTCAGGTTCGATTCCGGTCAAGGGCACATGCCCAGGTTGGGGGCGAGTCTCATCATTGATGTTTCTGTCTCTTTCTCCCTCTTCCTTTATCTCAAATTAATAAAAATATTAAAAAAGAAAAGACAGACAAGAGAAGAAAGCTGGGTCTGGGTGTGACGCTGCCCTCGCTGAAGGAGAGACAGCACCACGGCCTGTAAGCTGAATCTTTATTTTATAGCCAGATTCCTCGACGCAAAGTAAGGGCGTGGTCAAGATGTTTACAACATTCTCCTGGGTTTCGAATCTACTCGATTACATGCACGGGATCAAGCTTTGTTTACTTGCTGCACCTCCCGCAGCCCATATCACTCAGCCTCGTGGGGCTACAGGTTCGGACCATAAGGTCAAGCTCACAACTATCACCTTTGGCTAAAATTGTGCTCGGACTTGCTTTGCCACGAGAGGATCGTGCCCTCTCATTAGGCCCAGGCTTGAGCCTGTCCAAACGCTGTAGCCGCTCTCCACAATGTATATTAGAAGTGATATCAAAGGCTGTTCTGAAAAGGTGACGCTTAGAGATTTTTGAAGAGATCCAAGGCTTTCTCTGTCCAAGTTCTAACCCAGGGGTGGGCAAACTTTTTGACTCGAGGGCCACAATGGGTTCTTAAACTGGACCGGAGGCTGGAACAAAAGCATGGATGGAGTGTTTGTGTGAACTAATATAAATTCAAAGTAAACATCTTTACATAAAAGGGTACGGTCTTTTTTTTCAATAGTTTTATTCATTTCAAACGGGCCGTAGTTTGCCCAAGGCTGTTCTAACCCAACTGGAAAATAAGATGAAAAAAGCAACAAATGGAGAATCTAAAGAGCATTTCAATTACTGACAAAGTCTAGGTTAGAGGTCATAACTTAGTGTGAGGGTCGGAAGAGGGATGGGTTCCCGTGACAGATTATTTCAAAGGTGGCCATTCTAAGACCTGCTGTTCTACATGCTCTTCCATGTGACATTGGGAGATGCGGTCCGTGTTCCCGCCCTTGGGGTCCAGGTGGGTCTGTGATGGTGCAAGTGATGTTGGATGACTTCTGAGGCCAGGTCAGAAAAGATGTGCAGCATCCTCCTGGTCCTCCTGGGACACGCCCTCCTAGAACCCAGCCAGCCAGCCCTGCTGTGAAGGCGCCCACGCTGCCCAGGGCCCATGGTGAGGCCCAGTGAGGAGGAACCTGCCCCCCAGCCCACAGGCCTGGCTGTGCTCCCAGCCAAGAGATAGGCAACACCAATTTACCAGCCAGGAGACTGAACCATTTGGGAAGTGACTTTTCCAAACCGGAGTCACGTGACTCCGGCTGATGCCTCATGAAGCTGAGAGCTCTGCCCAACTGCAGGTTTGTGAGCAAATTAATGGCTTTTTGTTATTTTTCAGTCGTTACATTGGAAGGCAGATAACTTATACACGCATTTCCCCGGGCTAGACTCTGGAGCAGCCTGCCGGAGGGGACCTGTGGGTCCTCAAGTCCGTGTTCCAAGGGGAGAAGGGAAAAAATGAAATACCCTGTGTTTAGGATTTGTGATAGATTCACTGCCGAGTTGATAAAAAATGGGTCAATGGCAAGGAACTCATTCAGGTTTTCCTGAAATGTTTCCAGTTTCAGCCGTGAAAGCTCCATGTCACACCCTGGGCTCCATGTCACACTCACTCCTTCAGTCTCAGGGAACCAGCGTGGTGGTCGCCCTAGCTGCCCTCGATCAGGGGACTCATCGCGTCTCCCGGGAGAAAGCGAGGGTTTGGAAAGAGGCCCGGGCGTTTGGGGAGCATTCCCCTCTGCCGAGAGCATGATTAGGAAAGACTGTGCCCCTAATAGTAACTTTTGAACTGGAAGCCCAAGGAGCCAGCTGTGCAAAACCCCGGAGGTAAACAGCCCAGGAAGAGGGAGCACCAGGTACAGACGCGAGGAAGGCGAGAGTGTGAGCTCTGCCAGCGCTGCGGCCACAGCACACCTGGCGGGCGGGACTGGAGTTTCGAGTCAGGATGGAACTGTGGGAGGAGGATCCAGAAGCCCCCTCAGGAATGGCTTTATGAACCACAGCAGAGGGTTTTTAAGCAGTGGCGAGCTAAGATCCGAGTTCCATCTCTCAAAAGCTCGCTCTGGCTACAGCTGGAGAATGGTTTGCTAGGATCAGAGTGGAAACAGCCAGGCCAGGGCGGAGGAAAGGCATGAGAAAGGCTTAGTTTCGGATGCGGAACCAGCAGGTCTTGGTGATGGGTTGGAAACAGGGGAGCCACCCGCAGTGAGCACAAGGTGGCCAGTGGTGCAATTTGCAGAAGCGGGGCGCTGGGGAATACGTCTGTTTTATGCTTCTGTCTTATGTGTTCAGTCTGAGAGGCCTTTAGGGCATCCAGTGGAGACAGCGGGTAGGCAGTGAGAGCTGGCGTGGGAGTTCTGGGTGGGGTGGGGGGTGGGGGGATCAGGCCGCCTGCGTTTGAATCCAGACTCTTCCACCCACTATATGACCTTCGGCAAGTTACTTACCTTCTCTTTGTCTCTGTCCAATGGAGATAACTAAGTAACTATTGGAGAAGTAGGTCTTTGTGACAAATAGTAACAAACATCGGAATCGCTCCGTCAGTGTTGGCCGTTAATATGTTTGCGTCCAGAGCTCCTGGAGGGGTCAGAAATGGACATTTAACTCTGGCCTGGATCTCAGTCTGGGTTCCGCGCACGTTTGGGGTGACAGGAGGAGGAGCCCCGAGGAGAACAGGCGCGAGCGGCCAAGGGAGCCTGGAGGGACTGGGCTCCTCGGAGAGAGTGTGGCGGGTGGGGGGGTGGGGGGGGGCCCCCCCGCCGCCCCGCCCTGCCCCGCCCGCCCCTCGCGGTCCGGCCCGGCCCCGCCTCCGCGGCCCGCACTTAGGGCCGAGCGCACGCTGCTCGCCCGCCCTGCAGTCGCCCCCAGCCCCGCGGTGTCGCCCCAGCCCCGCCATGCCCGCCGACCTCAGCGGCACCTGGAACCTGAGCAGCAGCGACAACTTCGAGGGCTACATGCTGGCCCTGGGTAGGCGGGGCCGTGGGTGGTCGCAGGCGGGGGCCGTGGGGGTCGCAGGCGGGGCGTGGGTGGTCGCAGGCGGGGCCGTGGGGGTCTCAGGCGGGGCGTGGGTGGTCGCAGGCGGGGCCGTGGGGGTCTCAGGCGGGGCGTGGGTGGTCGCAGGCGGGGCCGGGGGGGTCGCAGGCGGGGCGTGGGTGGTCGCAGGCGGGGCGTGGGTGGTCGCAGGCGGGGCCGTGGGGGTCGCAGGGGGGGGCGGGGGGGGTCGCAGGCGGGGCCGTGGGGGTCGCAGGCGGGGGCCGTGGGTGGTCGCAGGCGGGGGCCGTGGGGGTCGCAGGCGGGGGCGTGGGGGGTCGCAGGCGGGGCCGTGGGGGTCGCAGGCGGGGCGTGGGTGGTCGCAGGCGGGGCCGTGGGGGTCTCAGGCGGGGCGTGGGTGGTCGCAGGCGGGGCGTGGGTGGTCGCAGGCGGGGCCGTGGGGGTCGCAGGCGGGGCGTGGGTGGTCGCAGGCGGGGCCGTGGGGGTCGCAGGCGGGGGCGTGGGGGGTCGCAGGCGGGGCCGTGGGGGTCGCAGGCGGGGGCCGTGGAGGGGCGCAGGCGGGCGCCGGCTCGGGTCCGGGTGAAGGCGCCGGGGTGTCCGTCCGTTCCCCGTGCGGCTGGCTCCGTGTCTCTCCTTCCCACGTTCGTTCTTCCCCTCGCGTGTCCGTCTGCCCGTCCCCCGTCTGTCCTGCATCCCCGATCCGCCTGCCCGTCCTCTCATTCCCAGGTTACCCCGTCTCCCCGTCCTCCCGTCTCCCCCGTCCCCGTCCTCCGGGGCAGTCTGCCCGCCGGTCAGCCCGCCTCTCCGCCTGCCGCATCCTTCCATCTTCCCCAGCAGGGATCCCTGTCCCCTCGCCCGCCCGCCCGTCCGACCGCCCCTCCAGTCCTTGCTCCCAAGCCCCCATCTTTCCTTCCTCCCGTCCCCTCCACCGTCTCTGTACCTGCCCGTCGGCCCCGCTCCTGCCCCAGCGCGGATTGGTAACCAGGCGGAGGTGGGGGGGGGGGGCGGCGTGGGACACCTCGCGGGCAGACTCAGGGACACGATGGGGTGCGGGCAGGTGAGGGGCGCTCCGGATGGAAGCCCCTCCCCAGGTGACCCTCACCCCGCAGCCGCCTTTAACGCGGGGCTCTGGGCTGCCGGGCCGGGATCCCTTGAACACAGGGGCGCCCAGGGAGGCCCCCGTCCCGCAGCGTCTCCAGGGGCGCCTGGGGCGGCCCCCGCCCCAGGAGATTCCGGTGCCGCTAGATTCGGAACCGAGTTTGAAATCTTTGGTTTCTGGCCTCCGCTCTCCCCTCGAGGACTGCAGGGCGTTCCGGTAGAGGGCGCTTCCCGCTCCTCGATCCCCGCCTCCGGGGTGCAATTCCAGCCCCGAGGAGGGTCGGTGGTGCTGCCTGAGCGCTTAGGGAGCCTGGTCTCCGAGGCTTGGAGGAGGGACCGTGCGTGGCAGGGGTGTGCCGGACCCGCGGGTCTGACCCATGTCCTCTCTCCCCAGAGGGCTGGAGGGTGCTCCCCGCCCTGATGGCGGAGGCCTGCCTCCTCGCCCATCCCCAGTCTGTCCAGCCCTCAGTCTCCTTCCTCAGACTCCTGCATCTGAGCACCTACTGTGTGCCAAGTGCTTTTGACGAAATGCCACCCATCAGTGGCACTTTTGACAGATGGACCAAAGCTGCTGAGAATCCGGGGGTCTGGGGGCTGCTCTGGCTCGCCTCCGTTTATCTGAGACCAGGCCTCCGTTTCCCCACCAGTAAATTGAACTGGGAGTCCAATTTTTTTTATTGTGGTAAAATACCCATGACAGAAAATTGGCCATTGTGACCACTTTGAAATGTCCAGTTCTGTGCCCCAGTGTGTTTTTCAGATTCTCCTCCCCGTCCTTTCTCACACTAAGTAGGGAAGTTTGGAACTTCTCAAGCGAAATCTGATTTATAGTCACACAAAACCTTGTACAGAAGAAAAAGTTGTATTTTCCTCTACCCACCTGGTTCATTGGCAGGGGCCCTGTGGATTAGACTAACAAAGGACAGACACACAGAAGTGGACACACTCGGCCTGGGGCGATGAGTACCTCAAAGGAGTGGGAGGGCCTGAGCTTCTATAACTTCTTAGCGACGAGTAATACTTCCGTAGAGAAGTGACAAGACAAAGGGACTCTGAGTTCCCAGGGTGACAAACAACAGGAAAGTAAATATATGGAAAAACGAAGGGAAAATAAGGGCTACTTAGTAACGTTTATTATGTAGGCTCTTCTGGTGCCAGGCTGATAAGAGCCTAGAGTCGTGTCCCTAACTGCTGTCCGTCCTGGTGCAGGTGGGAGGGGGGAGTGTGGAAGAGAGGGCTCCATGACGTGACCAGCGAGCATCCTGCAAGCTGGACCGGGCCAGAAAGGAGGTGACTTTCTGCAAATCCCCTTAAAGACTGTCTGATTGTAACCGACGTTCATTCGGACATAAACTCGCCCCCTTCCCTTGCCTCCTGCCAGCGCTGGTCCCTGGTACAGGTTGTTGTCCTGCCCTAGTCAGGCATGTAACGTCATTCCCCGAACCTGGTAGCATTTAGGTGCCGTTACCTGTGACTGCCCCCCACTTTACCCTATATAATTATTTGGCACCTGCCAAGCAGTGAGGGGGTCCATTTCATCCTGTAGTCATCCACGACATGTCTTGGATGTTCCCCTAAGAAACTCTGTTCATTACCAGCCTGGAGGGCCAGCCTATTTCTTCGGTCTCTCCTGCCCTCCACTTGCAAAAGTAGATTTTCAGTCTCAGGACCTTACCCTGGGTCTGCGTGGACAAACAGGGTCTCCAGATACTGGAGTGATCAGAAGCAGACTATAAAGCACTTATGCTGAGCTTAATTTTGGCAAGAAATCAGACTCTATAAAAAGTAACATCTGCCCAGATGAAAAGGAAACAAGTAGAAATTGTAGAACTAAAAAGTAACCAACAAGCTTAGAAACTTAGCAAGTGTTCAGATTCCTCTCTGTGTCCCTTGTGGGGGAAGCTGAGGCTGCTCCTTTCCCTGTTATAAGGAGGGAACCTCTCACCTGAGGGTTTTATCAGCTGTGTCAGGGGGACATCAGAGGGTCCCCCCTGCACCTGCCTTCCCCAGGGACCTGCGGCTGGAAATATTCACTCTGCCAAGGTGCCAGGTTTTGAGGTAGAGTGTCCTGAACCCCATCTGATACAGCGTTTCTGTTTGGGGTGATGAAAAATTTCTGGAAATAAATAATGTTGGTTGCATAACATTATGATTATTCAATGCCACTGACTTGTATGCCTTTAAATGGGTAAAATGTATGTATTGACCACAATAAAAAATTACCAAAAATAGAAAAAAAAAAGAATCACAAGGATACTTGGGTAGAAAACCTACAATAAATCCTATATTTCATTTTAAAAAATAAAAGTTCCTTTTAAAAAAAAGTATTGATTGATCCTAGAGAGAAGAAGGGGGCGAGAGAGAAACATCAATTGGCTGCCTTCTGCATGTGCCTCGACCGGGGATCGAACACAACCTGGGTATGTGCCCTGACCAGGGGGGACCTTTTGATGCATGGGATGGCGCTCCACCCAGCCAAGCCACACCAGCCAGAGCACGTGAAAGCTCCTTTTACGTTCAGTTGTTTGAATTAAGTTCATTTTGGGAGTTAGCATTCTCTCCTATCTGAGCCATGTCTCATGACTTTACACAGTGAACTAAAACATGTTTTTTTAAACACAGAGGTTTATATTTCAAGTGAATAAAGATGGCTCCTGTAATAAAAACCAGAAAGTCCTTATCTTGTTCATTGGATGGAAGAAAATACAGGCAGGTGATCTGTCCCTTTTGGCCAAAAACAGAGCTTGAGGTCTTCGTCCCAGTTAAATATTTAAATTAACAAAGTGCTCGGTGAATTAGTCCATGTCCTTTATTCAGAATCTGTGTAAAATTAGCACATGGCATTTACAGGGATTTACGGCACAGAACTCAAATAATCCAAGTGCTTTTAGGTTCAAGAAGATTGTTCTCAGTTTTCCTTTCATTGGAGCAGATTCTCTTAAAGGGGGATTTCGATTACTCTGTGTCCCCTTCATTCTTGGCTATAAATTCCTGAAGAATAGGGAGCAAGCGTTCACAACCTCTAGCCATACAACATGCTCAAAGCTAATAAATGAGAAACGGCGTTCAAATCCACTTTCTATATCAAAACCCTGACCTTCACAGTATTCCATGTTTTCGTCTGTGACCCTTTTTAAAGCTTATTCAAGATTCCTAAGTGAATAGAATCGTGTGCATGATTGCAGTGGTTTTTGAGGTTTTGGGTGTGTGTGTGTGTTGTTGTTTTTTTAACAGTTGTTCAGAAACTGTTCAAATTCTGTCTTCATTTGAAGCGTACATACAAAAAGCAGAAAGAGGCAGAGTTGCTGTAATTGATGTTGGATGGCTTCCTTGTCTCTTTGTCACCCCCTAACGCAGGTGATAAAACCCGCAGATGGTGCCCTGGCCGGTTTGGCTCAGTGGATAGAGCATCGGCCTGCAGACTGAGGGGTCCTGGGTTTGATTCCAGTCAAGGGCACATGCCCGGGTTGTGGGCTTGATCCCCAGTGGGGGTGGCGTGCAGGAGGCAGCCGATCCATGATTCTCTCTCATCCTTGATGTTTCTATCTCTCCCTCTCCCTCTCTGTCTCTGAAATCAATAATAATAAAAAAAAAATTAAAAAAAAACACCCCACAGCTGAGAGGTACCCTCCTTCTAGCAGATGTACTTCTGCTGTGCCCGGCTTCCAATCCACCCCTGAGGCACGCGCTAGCCCACTGCGTCTTCCCCCAAAGCTGTTGAAGTTTTTAAACCAGCCTCTGGATGGAGGTTCGCCAGGATAGCTTTCCCTGCAGGTCCCGTCTCAGCAGCAGATGACATTGACACTATCAGAGAAACACTCGCCATCGAATGCAACGCTTATGAGGATAGTTGCCAAGTTCGTTGCGTTTGCCTCTCTGGTGAAAGCTGAGATTTCTTTTTAAAATTATTTTTAAGGTATTGACTTTGCCACTCGGAAGATAGCCAAGCTGCTGAAGCCGCAGAAGGTGATTGAGCAGAATGGGGATTCTTTTACCATCCACACGTACAGCAGCCTAAGGAACTACCTTGTTCAGTTTAAAGTTGGAGAAGAATTTGATGAAGATACCAAAGGCCTGGATAACAGAAAATGCAAGGTAAAAATCGCAGCAATAACACAGGCCCTTAACTTTGCCAGGTTAATTGGCCGTCAACTTAGTAATAGTCGAGATCCTGTCACAACAAACCAATGTTTTCTCCCTCTGCCGTGCAGAGCTTGGTCACCTGGGACAATGACAGACTCACCTGTGTCCAGAAGGGGGAAAAGAAGGACAGAGGCTGGACCCATTGGATCGAAGGCGACACGCTCCACCTGGTACTTGCCATATTCCTCTTCTTTTTAGTGAGATGATCTAACGTTGAAGAAAATGTTAAGCAGGGAGACCATGACCAGCAATTCTATCAATCTACTGTTTTTTCCCAATTTAAAAATGAAGGGATTGAGATTTAGAAGTGCCCCAACCCCAAACTGGGGATGGAGCCCACAACCTGGGCATGTGCCCTGACCAGGAATCGACCGTGACCTCCTGGTTCATAGGTCGATGCTCAACCACTGAGCCACGCCGGCCAGGCCATTCTAGCAAATTATTGCACTTGAGGGAGTCACGGGAACCCCCAATGTATAACTGGTTGGTCAGAATTACAGGTGGCCTGGGACTTTGATTGATGCCGTAAGTGGGGGCAGTCAGCCCTGCACCCGTGGGCTCTGCACTAACACTGGGTTGTTAGTTGTCAGAACTGAGTTGGTGTGAGAGTTGGAGGAGGGGGTTGGCAAAGACAGCACACGTTTGATGTCAGATCCTTGTGAGTAATAACAGGCCACGTGCCAAGTCACCTTCTTCCTCTTCCTTCCTTCTGATCCCAGGAAATGTTCTGCGAGGGCCAGGTGTGCAAGCAGACATTCCAGAGAGCCTGATGGGGTCCAGCGACCGACCCACGAGCCATGAGTCACGCGGGGCCGAAGCTTAACGCCCGACTACATTCCAGAACGAACAGGTGTTCATCTGCCCTCGTTTGGTGATGGGCCTTGTGGTCAGAGAGGTGTCATGCAGCCTGTACCACAAACCATTTGGATTAGGAGCAAACTGCTCAACTTCAATAAACCTGTCCGACGACTCTGACTTCTTCCTTCTAAATTTTAGCAAGTCCCACTATTTAAGAAGTAATCCGGTCTGTGATGACACAACAATGAATGAGATGTAATTCCTGCCTCGAGGTCTGGCGCGGAAAGTGGGTGAACCAAGCCCTCTGAACAGGGTGACAAGGACAGGCAGCCGTGAGGCCCCGGAGGGCAAGCCTGAGAGTGTGTAGGGATTTGTCAGCCACAGGACAGGGGGCTTGGGGGCAAATGGGAAGAACAGGTCAAGGGGGCCCAGTCTGTCTGTGGAGATAGGCAACTAGTTTAAGAGCTGAAGGAGGAAATTGAGTTGAGACAAAAATGGTTTAATAGCTCCACCAAGAAGTGTGGCTGGCTTCCTTTCCTTTCCTCCCTCCCTCCCCCCCTCCCGATATTCTCCCTCCTCCCCTCTTTCTTCCTCCCTTTTCCTCTTATAACTAGAAAATGTTCTTTTTAAAATTTCCCCACATAAGCAGCCCACAAAATCAAAGTGGGAAGTGCTTTTAGTTTTACCTTCATCCTTTTACCCCCACAGATATGTTTTATCAGAAAAGCTTTGTCCCTGGCCAGGTAGCTCAGTGGGCTAGAGCGTTGTCCCAATACGCCCAGGTTGAGGGCTCCATCCCCTGGCACATATAAGAATAAGTGGACCAACAAATCGGTGTTTTTCTCTCCCTTTTCTCTCTAAACTCAATAAAATAAAAAAATTAAAGAAAAAAAATGTTACGTATAGAAGTTAACAGACATCAGAGTAGGAATTAACAGAAACGTGCGGCCTCCTGAGAAGACTTACTCTCCTCCGAGGAGGCACACAGCCTCCTGTGGGGCTTGTGCAGGGAGGAAGGGTCCGGAAAACTGCCCACTAGTGAGCTTTTCCTTGCAAACGGGATGTGGGGGGTTGGGGGGCTGCACGGATTTTTCTGGACGCTTCTGGGAGCACCTGCCAGGTGATGCTTCATGAAAGGGGCTGGAGCCTGAGGCGTAGGCGGTGACTGCGCCTGGGCTGTTTATTCCCCGTTATTTCTGGGCCATCGTGTGCCCCGCTGTGCAGCAGTGAAATAGGCTGAATAGAGTAACACCGGGACGATGTGGGCTCTGCCCCCTGGGAGTCAGAGGAAGCTTCTGGAAGGACAGCTTTCCAGGCCGTGGCGTGGGAAGCAGAGATGGCACTGTCAGCCACCCTGAGCACGGGAAGGGGCCGGGGAAAGGCCACCCAGGGCCTGCAGTTACGGGAGTTCAGGTTGGGGGACTTCATGCTGCGGCTGCTGCTGCTGCTGAGCTGGGAGGACCCACGCGCCCCCTTCTGGACCAGCGCGTCCTTGGCTCCTGGGGAAGGAGGGAGGGCACGTGCTCTTGTACAGCGTAGCGGTTAGGCGATCGTATACTTCACAAAGGGTTCCTCTGAGGCGGTGTTTTTGTTTTTTGTGTTTTTTTTAAATATATTTTATTGATATTTTACAGAGAGGAAGGGAGAGAGATAGAGAGTTAGAAACATCGATGAGAGAGAAACATCAATCAGCTGCCTCCTGCACATCTCCCACTGGGGACGTGCCCGCAACCCAGGTACATGCCCTTGACCCGAATCGAACCTGGGACCTTTCAGTCCGCGGGCCGACGCTCTATCCACTGAGCCAAACCGGTTTCGGCTGAGGTGGTGTTTTTAAAAATTGTGATAAAATATGCACAACAAAAACTTACCAGTTTACTGTTTTCGGAGTACAGTTCGCTTGCATTAAATGCATTCCCATTGCGGTACCACCGTCACCGCTGTCCATCTGCAAAGCTTTTCATCTTCCCAAACTGAAACCCTGTCCCCATTAAACTGCAACTCCCTCCTCCCTCCGTCCCCCAGGCCTGGCCACCAGCATTCTTCCTGCCCCTATGAATGTACCTGTAGGAGCGGAGTCACCTAATAGCTGTTCTTTGCGTCTGGTTTATTTTACTGCATAGCTTAAATCTGCAAGGTTCACCCACGCGTCAGAATTTCCTTCCTGTAAGGACAGTGCTATTCCACCCCATTGCGTGGAGAGACCACTTTTGTGTGTCATTCATCCCTTGATGGACCTTCGGGTTGTTTCCACTTTTTAGTGATGGTGACTCCATACTGTCATGAAGGTGAGTGTACACATATCTGTTTGAGTTCCTGCTTTCAATTCTTTTGGGTATAGACCCAGAAGTAGGGACAGTGTGTATACAAAGACAGAAAATGCTTGTTCACTAAAAGGGAAGTTGAAAAATAGGTGACAATAACAGTAAACCACCAAAAATAATAAACCACTTCCATAATGTTTATTATGAGCCAAACACTAAGAGTAGTTTTTTAATTTTTACAATATATGAAATAATATTCTTATTCCCATTATATAGATGGGACAATTTAGACACAAATTGTCTTTTTTAAATTTTATTTTTAATTTTCAGTTACAGTTGACATTCAGTATTTGTTTCAGGTGTACAGCACAGTGGTCAGGCATTTATATAACTTGCAAAATGACCCCCCTGATAAATACAGTACCTATCTGGCACCATGTATTGTTATTACAATATTATTGACTATAGTCCCTATGCTGTTCTTTACATCCCCAACCCATGATGACTTTTAACTGCTAATTTGTACTTCCTTTGTTGTTGTTGTTAATCCTCGTCCGAGGATATTTTTCCATTGATTTTTAGGGAGAGTGGAAGAAAGAGGGAAAGACAGAGAGAAACATCGATGTACACGTAGATTGGTTGCCTCCAGCACAAGCCCTGACCAGGGCCTGGGCCGTGGTAGGGGGTGGGGGTGGGGATGGGGGTAGAGGTGTGGGGGGAGGAGCCTGCAACCGAGGTACATACCCTTGACTGGAATCAAATCTTGGACCCTTTGGTCCACAGGCTGACGCTCTATCCACTGAGCCAAGCCAGCTAAGGCACTAATTTTTACTTCTTAATCCCTTCATCTTTTTCACCCAGTTCCCCAAACCCCCTCCCATCTGGCAACCATCAGTCTGTACTCTGTATCTATATACAAGTCTATTTTTGTTTTGTTTTTTAGATTCTACATATAAATGAGATCATATGGCATTTGTCTTTCTCTTTGTGGCTTATTTCACTGAGCATAATACCCTCTAGAGTAGCAGTTCTCAACCTGTGGGTCGCGACCCCTTTGGGGGTCGAATGATCCTTTCACAGGGGTCGCCTAAGACCATCGGAAAACACATATATAATTACATATTGTTTTTGTGATTAATCACTATGCCTTAATTATGTTCAATTTGTAACAATGAAATTGGGGGTCACCACAACATGAGGAACTGTATTAAAGGTTCGCGGCATTAGGAAGGTTGAGAACCACTGCTCTAGAGCATCCATATTGTCACAAATGGCAATATTTCATTCTTTTTATGGCTGAGTAATATTCCATTGTGTATATGTACCATGTGTTCTTTTATCCACTTGTCTTTCGATGGACACTCAGGTCGCTTCCATATCTGGCTATTGTAAATAATGCTGCAGTGAACATAGGGGTGCATGTGTATTTTTGAATGCGTGTTTTGGATTTCGTCAGGTACATACCAGAAGTGAGATTGCTGGGTCATGAGGTCTAATTGCTAGAGGAACCTCCATGCTGTGTTCCACGGCGGCCCCACCTGTTTGCACTCTCACCAGCAGCGCACAAGGGGTCCCTTTTCTCCACATCCTCGCTGACACTTGTTTGTTGATTTTTTGATGAAAGCCATTCTGACACGTGTGAGGTGGTATCTCATGGTGATTTTAATTGGCATCTTTTCTGATGATTAGTGGCCTTGAACATCTTTTCATACAGGAGTGGGCAGAAGTAGGTTTACAGTTGTCCGTATGAAAAATGACACGCAGGGTATGACGATTACAAGAGCTTTATTAGCTCAAAGGAATCGCACAATGGCACAGTGCACTTAGGCACGTTCTGGTAAGTGCTCACATTGCTGCCCTTCATCACACATAAATAAAAAGGGACATCTGTAATACTTTCAATAATAAAGATACGTTTAATCATAAATAGGCAATGATACAAGAATAAACCCTGTGTTTTGTGTACTCACAGCACAACTGTAAACCTACTTTTGCCCACTCCAGTATATCTATCAGTCGTCTCTTTGGAGAACAGACATAAATTGTCTGACATTGAGTGACTTGCCCAAGGTCACGGGGTTAGTAGCTGAGGGAACCCTTGTTCCTCATGTACGTTTCTTCTCCCTTTGCTCCTGCTGTTTTGGCCACTGAAACACCAGGAGACTGTTTCCATGAAAAAACTTCCAATTCACTTCTTCATTCCTTTAATATGCGCTTCGTGCGTACTCCGTGCTCGGATGTGCTTGGGACTTGGGGACACAAGTTCCCGTTAACTTAACTTTGCACATTCCGAGGCTCCATGCACACGGCATTTTCACCCTCTATTCTGGGTCACCAGTCCCCTATTCAGGTACGTTTGCTTCTGGCTGTAGAAGCAAAGTGAGAAAAGAACCTGCCAACAAGCAAGCTGGAAACCCTCTCTCCATCTTCGGATACTGTGAGTCACATGTTCTTTCTCTTGGCCTCACATGGCAGCTGTGCCCCGTCGTCTCCTGGACGAGGTCATGACTTCCAGGTAAAGATGTGCTAGATTCTGGTTTTGACCTGACAACCAGGTAGGTTGAATCCATAACACGATTAAAGCAGGGGCTTTAATATGTCAGTTATTAAAGCTGGAATTATTAAAGTTATTAAAGCAATAAAGTTGAAAATTTTAAAACTAGCTCTGGTTCAAAAATGTACAAGCCCAGAGTTCCTGTTGTTCAGAGAGCAGCTTCAGAGACTTTGATTCTGTCTGGGTCTCTGACGCTTTGGTTCCAAAGCGCACTGATCAAAGGTCTTTCCACGAAATCGCTACCAGATGTTGGCTCTTCACACAACCAGGTGGAAAGGCTCGTCCTTGGCAAAGGAAGACCTTCTAGAACAGTGGTTCTCAACCTCGGCTGCACATTAGAATCACCTGGGAATCTTTTTAAAATCCTGATTCCTGGGCCTCATTCTCCGGAAATTCTATTTCTTTGTTATGGGGCGGGGCCACAACATTAGTAACAAAGAAACAGAAGTTCTGGAGGATGAGGCCCAGAAATCAGCATTTTAAAAAGATTCCCAGGTGATTCTAATGTGCAGCCAAGGTTGAGAACCACTGCTCTAGAAGGCATCTCTGTTAGCTACATGCTCTG